TAACTGGGCTACTATCTATTTAAAACTTTGACCTAAACGGACCCAGTTTTTAAAAAGAGTAGTTCCCTTTACTTGAGCATGGGGCCAATAAATAGTTAACTTTTATTAATATGCTCATCAGTAAGGTAAAGCACAGACATGGACCAACTTAAAGCAGTGCATGTTTTCACTTCTGCAACTTCTTGACTTTGGTGAATTATAATTCTGAGCAGGAGAAAACCAATTCAGAATCCAAAATATGGAAACATTATAAATCACTTGAAGTTATTTTTGTATATGTGTATGCCATTACACATGTTAAAAAGAGAACTCACAAACATATACAATATGGAATGGTGAGAAAAATAAAGAGGATCTGAGCAGAAATTGGGCATTATTGGTTCAGGGGTAATAAGAAACAATAGAGAAAAAGACATACTTAACCCCTTAACACAACACCACAAAGCCAATCAGGAAAGCTAAAACCATCACCATGCTGGCCCCATGCTTTTTCAACTTAAACCTCAAATAAGTAAATCATGCCCCATTTATATGTTTTAGTAAAGAAAAACTCAGTACATAGAAAGAAGCATTGAAAACCTTGACTAATAAGAAATTATTTATATTATTTTTCTGGGAAGACTGAAAACTGTGTGCCTGATAGGATGGATCTCCCAGAGCACAGGGGCTCCCTCAGGACACCTCAGGTGCAAGGCAGGTGGTAAGGCCGGCTCTTTCCCCTCTTTCCTACCTGCTTCTCCCTCAGGAGCTCCCTGGCTAGGAGATGTTCTCTGGACAGACAAGCTTCTCTGATACATGACCTTTGGAGACCACTTACTGTTGCTTTCCCTCATTTTGCTAAGCAGGAAACTGAGCCTCTGAGAAGATCAAAAACTGTCTAGGTTATCAAGCAAACCACAACAGAATCAAAGTCTATAGAACTCAGTGTTCAGACCGGCAGGCCAGTGTTTATCCAATGCAAAGTACTTTCAAGGCCACCCTCATGAATCCACACACCAATACTACAGAGGACTTCATTACATTAACATCTTCCTTGCCCATCCTTGAAGGAAGAAAATGTGATTAATTGCTAATTCCCTGAGGAGGAGGGGATGGCAGGCAGCAACATTTAACTAAGTATTATGAGTCAGTGGAAATAAATTTAAAAATAAGATGAAGTCATTATTTTGGAAAGCTCATCTCTTTCTTTAAAAGAGTCATATAAATAAAATACCTAAAATGGTTAAGGAAACTTTTAATATTAAGAACATACACACACAAACACACATACAGAGCAATAGTGATAATGACATTAGTTATGATAATTTATTATTAACTACATCTTAGCCACTTGGCACAAGACTTTACATGAAATAATATTCCTATTATTAGATATTACTGTTTTTATAGATGTGATAATTTGAGCCAAAGCCCATGCCGTGTGTGGGGTGTCAACTGTTCTGTTTTGTCCTAGGATGTGTGTGTATGCGTGTAGGTGTGTGAGTCTGTGTGTGTATATATGCGCGTGTGCGCATGAGCACACGTGTACAATGAGTGAATGTTGATTTTCTATAGCTAAATTCAGGAAAATTCTAGAACCTTGGTATGGCTGGGATGACACCCTCTGCCCCACTAGCAGGGTGTGTCTCTCTGCCTCCTGATATGATCCTATCATTACAGGCCACTCCACCTTACCTTGTGCTGTGGTCTAGTGCGTCACAGACTGGATTAAAGAAGCATATGACCAATGTCTTACAAAATAACATTCATAAGTAACTTCATGCTCAGAGGAAGCACTGCACAGCTTCCAACCTCTGTTCTTCTAGAGGGGTGAAGAAGGAACACTTACCTTGACTTCAAACTCGAAGTGTTCATCCTTCCCTTGACCACACAGGACATAGCGGGGAATACTAATCTTAATGGGGTCCTTCAGGTCGTCTGGATTTGCTCCCAGAGAACGAGAATACATCCGCTATCAAAGGCACATCAGACAAGGAGAACAAAGAGAATGTAGCATCACTGCGCTGTGGCCAAAACCCTGCTTGCACAGAAGAGACAAAACGCGACTCGAGTAGAGAAAGGAGCATGAAACCAGTCTAGTTTATTTAGAGAAAAGGCAGCTTTCTTTGAAAAAGACATGCTAAGCCTCTCTCCTAACAAAAGACCATTTTTGTAGATATACCACTCCAGAAAGTTAGGGTAAAGACACTTCAAAATGTTGTTTGGCTTTGAAGTTTCTTCAAATTTATAAGATCAAGTAAAAATAGGGACAGATTACACTTTCTAACTAAAAAAAATCAGTTTCTTTTTTTTGCAAAGTCTTTATCAACTGAACATTTTTTTCCTTCATATATTTGACTGCTGCTCATAAAGCTGTAGATCCTGGAGATGTTAAAATTCAATTCATCTTTAACATTTGGCCATTTCTATAATGAAGTTACTCTAGTATGTAAACCACAATTAAGACAAATCCCAAGTCTTTCCTTTAGGCTCCATTTGATTGATAATTGTCTTGGCTGACAAGTATTTATGTTCTGGATGGCAGGAAGCCAGAGGGGTCACAGGAAGATGCAGTATAACAAATTAATTTTCAAAATGAGGAAGACATCTCTGAATATTCATAATTTACACTAACCCAGAGCTTTAGAAAACATAAGACAATATGTTTTTGAAGTGGTAGCAGTAAAAGAAAATAATTAATTAGAATCACACTTATAGCTACATTTGCCGAATGCTCACCATATACTGTGGGTGTGCTAGCCAGTTTCATACATTAATCCTATCAATCCGCATCTCTCCACGGGGGCTAACCATTATGAAGCCTATCTATCAAAAGAGAAAGGGGGCAAGTTCGCTCTAGGAGGCAAGTGAGCTGATAACCCAGGGTATGAGCATCACACGGGTACACTATTCCCATACAGGGTTTTAAAGAGAGGCCCTCCATCTAAGATAAATGGGCTAATGAGTACATCACATATGCACAGGTTAAGGTGTTGGAAACTCCACAAATATGCAATAAAGTTGAATTTTTTGACGAAAAAGAAACCAATAGGCAATATATAACCTATTCACCAGGGAAAAAGGGGGATCTGGGGTCCAGGCAGGCACTCACAGGTTTGGCACTACCTGGCTGCCTCTGTAACAACACAGACCACTGGATGTCAGAGGTGGGCAATTTCTGACTGTAGCTTCTAATCTAGCCGGCAGAGTCAATATTCAGCACTGTTTGAAGTTACCAAAGTCGTTTTTTTAAAAATTATTTTTATTGAGCTATATATTTTTCTCTGCTCCCTTCTGTTTTCTCCCCTCCGTTCTATTCTCTCCCATGGTCCTCTTGCTTCCAATTTGTTCAGAAGATCTTGTATTTTTCTATGTTCCATGTAGTTTAGAATCATGTATGTCTCTTTTAAGGTCCTCATTGATGTCTAGGTTCTCTGGGATTGTGATTTGTAGGCTAGTTTTCTTTGCTTTATGTCTAAAAGCCACTTATGAGTGAGTACATATATTTGTCTTTCTGGGTCTGGGTTACCTCACTCAATAAGTTACCAAAGTCTTCTTCCCCTAGTGGTTGGTCATCCACAAGCGTCACCGTTTGCCACATGGTATATCTAATAAGCTGTCACTGATGTCAAATGATCAGAAGTGTTTTCCAACATGAACTCTGCTAACCCTTTGACTCACTGACAGTACTCGCCCAAATGACTTTAAATATAGATCTTCTCTGACATGTTATACTTTTATAAATTTACAGCCGCAAAGAGGAAAGAATAATTTAGTTGGTCTTTTTGTAAGAGCATTTTTTATATATTACATTTCTTTTATTGATATTTATTGAGCTCTACATTTTTCTCTGCTCCCCTATCTTCCTCTCCCCTCCCCTTTAATCCTCCCCCAAAGTCCCCATGTTCCCAATTTACTCAGGAGATCTTGTCTTTTTCTATATCCCATGTAGATTAGACCCATGTGTGTCTCTCTTAGGATCCTCATTGTTGTCTAGGCTCTCTGGGATTGTGATTTGTAGGCTGGTTTTCTTTACTGTATGTTTAAAAACCACTTATGTTTAAGTACTTGTGATAATTGTCTTTCTGGGTCTGGGTTATCTTACTCAATATGATGTTTTCTAGATCCATCCACTTGCCGGCAAATTTCAAGATGTCATTATTTTTTTCTGCTGTGTAGTACTCCACTGTGTAAATGTACCACATTTTCCTTATCCATTTGTGAGAACATGTTTGATGATAAACAATAGCTCTCACCTACATATGTCAATATTTATCCTTGAGGTTCTATTTTGTTTCCCTCAATCCCCTCTATGTCACATGTAGTACCCCAACTTTCCAAGTAAAGGAATGCCATTTTCTACAGACCCAAAATGATGTCTTAGGATTATTTGTGTCCGTGTGCTGGCCACAACTAGGTACATAGGCACTGCTACCATGGAATTCAAGCAGTAACTAACAACTGCTAATACTCCAGGCAAGGGGGTTGGTTCCCCTTACTCTACTACAGAACTTAGCTTTCTTTTTCTCTAGTTCAGTTTCAAAATTAGATAGAACTGAAACCTCGAATCTGGCTAAACAGTCTATCCTATGACTACTAAGATTTTTCGTAGCTAAGAATGCAGTTGTGAAATCAATTTCTGCTGCAAGCAGGGTAGCTTAAGGCACAGGTCAGACATCCTCTAAGTAAAACTAAAAGAAAACAACAGCAAACCGTGTGTCTTTGACAATGTTCCTAGGCGTAGGAGCTGAGTGACAATGCGTTATGTGGAATAGCTGGATCTGAAATATCTACACAGCTCAGACCAACTTAGGGCCCTGTGCTGGCTTCTTAATGTCAACTTGCTACTAGCTAAGATCATCCAAAAAAAGGAATCCTAATCAAGAAAATGCCCTAAGAATGTATGTGTGTGTGTGTGTGTGTGTGTGTGTGTGTGTGTGTGTGTGTGTGTGTATGTGTGTATGTATATGTATGGGGTCTGTGAGCAAGCCTCTGGTGCATTGATTAATCATTGATGTAGGAGAGCCCATTTCACTGTGGTCAGTGCCACCAACTGAGCTAATGGTCCTGGGTACTATAAGAAGGCAGGTTGATGAAGCCACAGGAAGCAAGCCAGTAAGCAGCACCCTCCCATGGCCTCTGCCTTTAGGTTTGGGCTCTCTTTGAGTTCCTGTCCTAACTTCTCTGAATAATGGACTACACATTTTAAGATGAACTAAATCCTTCCCTCTCCAGGCTGCTTTTGCTCAATCCCAGCCACAGAAACTCTTAGACAGGCAGCCTTCTCCCAGCTGCACCTGTATGTGGACCATAATCAATGGGTTCTGACACTCAGTCAGGATGAGACACTGAAGCTCAGCAGACCTTTGCGGGGAAGAAAGACATTCTTCTCCTCAGTTCTCAGCATGCTGGAAATAAAAAATATTGCCAGGATATTGCTATCATTATTGAATACAGTTTAATTGGCAGTAGGTTCAATCTCACTCCTTTCATACGGAACAGATTATTAATGAGCATACAGAAAAAAACTACAACAGAAGTGAATAAGGGTCTATGACCACACCATCCTGAATGTACCTGATCAGCCCAGCATTATAAGTGGGGAGTGGGATCAGAAGATGTCTGAACAAATGTATGATATAGACAGATAAATAAAAAAATGAACATGTTTCCACCAAGTCATTGCTGCATGGTAGATTTCTTTTAATTTCTATGCGAAATGTAAAATTCTCAGATACAGTTGTGAAAGGTTCTTAACAGTCTCCTAAAAATATGTTAGTTTTAAGCAGTAAGAAAAAATAATATAATGTCTCATAAGCAACTCTTGATTTGTATGTGGCTATATGTTGAATATCTGGTTTCACCCTAGACATGGGGACATATACTGAGTCACATAACATCATGTCACATGGTTTATGAGTGCTTTTAAGTATAATGACATTGTTTATTTTGGAATCAGTTGCTTTTCCTGCAGTGGACAGGACTCCTATACTCAACAAGGAAGCCAGTGACACATCAGCCAAAGACAGAGAGATGAAAAGGCCGCCCATGAGAAGGCAGCAAATTCAATGTGGGTGAATATGTAAGACCTTAAAAGAACCTTAAAATGTACTGTGGAATGATTCCACTTAGAAATAAAAAGCCAGGAACAAGCATGTAATCAGTAACTAGGATTACATGTCTATACATAAGAGATATTACCTTTAAAAATTAAATAAAATATTTTTCTGTATTTAATGAAATATTACTTTCTATGTACACATAATATTTTTTAAAAATTGTAGCTGAAACAGTGTCATTAGATCATCAGCCAAAAGGCAGAAGTAGAATTTAGGCTGCACTGTAAATGCTTCGATGAGAATTTTCTCTTCCTATTCAGGCTGTCTCTTACTGAGGAACTGAACAGGAAATGGCATTAGTATCTCTGCAGCTCACTGTAGGCTATGCAAGGGCACTGAGTGGCATAATTCTACAGGGAGTCATCAACGTCCTCCTAATCACCAATTATGTACCAGATGGTTAAATTCAGTTCATGCATGACCATGACAAGGTCAGCCCTAAGGACTGTCACCTAATCTCCTGGAGACCAGAAGAAAGCTTTGCTTAAAAAATACAGGCAGATCAGGGTTTTTGTTATTGTTTCCCCCCCCCTTTAAATCAGATTAATTTAAATTGGAATTACCAATTCTCTTGTCTCTCTTCACAGCATAACATAAAATTCTAATTCTTCTTTTTCTAAAATTGCGCATTCCAGCATGTTGTAGTTGGAGCTACTACTATACATTAGTCACCTTGTTCTGCCCCAGCAACTTAAAAAAGGGGAACCCTAGGCAGACCAATCAGTTGCGCTGCTGAAAAGGAGGCAGCTCATAAGAAACTGGGAATAAAGTGTGTAGGTAGAGAGTAAGAGTATGGCAAATGGCCAAAAAGTGGCCAAAGCAGGTTTGCATTCACTCTAGGTGAGGTCCCTAGGCCAGGAAGGACCTTATCTTCGTACCACACTGTCTATAAAGGCTGAGGAGGCACAGCTCTTCAGATTCTGCTAAGCCATGTGACTGGCATTTCTTGGTTAAAATCCTCCAGTGTGAAATGAATGATGACAGAGTCAACTTTCTAGAATAAAGCAACAGCATATGGGCAACAGCTCTACATTTTGAAAGCAAGAGTTCGCAGCAGAGTTAGAATTATTGTTACCATTGTAATCTACGTTGGTAATAATGAGTTTTTACAAAATAAGGGCCAGAGTGATGATATGCAAATAAAAATAGAGCATTTAGTTGCCTTCCCTACCAAGGAACTTTCTAGATGACAAAGGTGTACCCTGAGAAGACTGGATGACAATGGTTTGGAAGCTGTTGCTCAAGCAGAGAGAAAGCACTGAAAACTGCTGGATGAGAATTCAGAAGAGAGGAGGCAAAGAGAGAATCATCCACTCTAAGCTTGTGATACAATGCAAGTTGCAAAATCCACTTGCTTTGTTCCATTACAGACAGTGCTTGAGGAGTCAGACTGAAGATGGAGACTGTTGCAGGGAGTGGTAAGTAGGCAATGATACCAGGCTGTGCCTGGACGCTTCTATCACCTCCACCACGGTGACTGTTCCTGTAGTACACCTCTCAAACAAGGCACGTGTGGTGCATGAGCCTAGCTCAGACACATCTGTAGGCTTCAGCAGTCACTCCCACTAGCAAATCAGCAATGGCAAATAAAAGCCTTTTGTCTTTCCTATACCACTGAAACTTCAAGAGTTGTTTGATACTTGGCAACAGATGAAGGATGGAACATTGTTTACAACAAGCATTTGAAGAATGAAGATGCCAAAACTACATACTGTAGACAGTGCAACAACACTAGTAAAATGACTTCACTAGAAACTAGGTAATCCAATAAAACAGCCTGGCCATCAAGGAACCATTAATAAAAGAGGATCAAATCTATTTATCATACATGGTATCTGTGAAAAAAATAATATAAGAGACATTTACTGTAATTATTACTATTAGAAAGCTTAACTGTGCCCTTCCAGAGGAAAATATGAACATTTTCTAAGAACTCAGACTGTACAGACAAACTGTTTCGAGATGTTTTTTAACAAAACCTAAATAAATCCAGTCTACCAAGTACAAGTCTCAGACAGAGCAAGAAGTGTTTTAATCAAATTCAGGTGAAATTACCTTTTCAAGTCCTCAAAGAGGTATTGTCTAGAATATATCAGTGAGTTCCACAATGCAAGTGTTTACGCTTCTAATCCAACAACTCAAAATTCCAGAGAACCAAGTACGTAAAAACCTGATTTTCTTGACCTGGAAACTGCCTACAACTGAACTGCTACCCTGGTTGCATACACTATATAGACTCGTACCTGTATGAATGCAGGAGGGGGTGTCAGAGGGTGGAGAAGGAAGCCACGGTGGAAAGTGGAGCAAGTCTACAGGCTTCTGGAATATTACAATAATCTCGATTCCTACTATATAGAGCATGTCACTCAATCTCTCACTTCCATGAACCATATTTTATTTCCAGGTACAAAGTATGCCTAGGAGAGAGTGGACAAGCATGCTGACAGGCCTCTGGAGGTGACTCCACTATGTGGTGAGGTCTGAATAGAACAGCGTCACCTTTGAACCATACAGCAACTCAAAGTGTGAGGACAAATATCATGATTTTACATAATGCTTACCTTTACTTTATGTTCCATATAGTAAAAACCCCTCAGGGCCGTTATTTGCAGCATGGTAGAATAATGGTGACATGCCTCTCTGAAGTACACACGCTCTGTTAACCTGACAGATCACTTTTGTATTGCTGCTTCTTCCTGACCATCACAACCCTCTGCCAGTGCCTTCAATGTTACTCTCAGTTCTATTGACTATTAATTCTGCTTTTCCTAAAATTCAAGATATTTGTAAAAATAGTGGTGGGACTATTTAAGAACAAGCAATACAAATTATAACAGATGAATAATGAGAATTAGGAGAAAGAGTATTGATGAGCTATTAGATGGCTCTAATGGTATATTTCAGTTCTTTTTTTTTCTGTTTTGTTTTGTTTTTCCCAAGATAGATGGTGACCTATATAGCTAAAGCCAGGACCAATCAGTGGTAGTAATTTTCACAATGTTCTCTATATAGTTAAAAGCCTGTGGGTGTAAGGCAATGAGGTATGTGTCTATTAGGAGACGAGTGTTTTGGAAGTGACAAAAGCACACTCCATCCCCAAATAAGAGAAATCAATTGCCTGGAAAACAAAAAGCCTGACACTGGTCCACAGAAAACAAGGTTGCTAGATCACAACACATTCTCCAGTTCCGTGTTTGCCTGCTCACTTCCCCAGAATCAGCACAGAGCAAAACAGATGGAAATGCAGAGATGCTTGAACAGCCTGCCAGTCTCTGTTGGCAATTCTGATGAAAAGCAGTTGGTAAGTTTCTGGGTGGGTTAGGTTTTGACTCATCCCTATCATCAGTTAGTAGCAGAAATGAAGGGCCCACATTTATATTTTACATAAGCCAAAAATGTGACCAGAACAGAGGGGCCCTCCCTTCCAAGCCAAAGTTAAAATGAGTGGTTTAATGAAATCAGGGACTCACTCAACTGCCCACTGTGCTGAACTGGGCGCAGCTGAGAGAGGAAGGGGAACAAATGGAGAAAAGAGGCCCCGCCCCTCCACCAGCTTCAGAGCCTCTAGAATTTAGTGGACATGCATCCAAGAGAAAGGACAATGGCGAAGTAACAGAGTATAAATTACCTCAAAGCATGTTTTCCTAGGATTGCCACACAGAAGTAGATGAAGAACAAGGTAATGCTGGACAGCTGCAAATGAACCGCAGGCCAGCAAACACCTATCTTAAAGGACTTGAGTGATGGCTGGTCAAGGACCAGGAAGAATGGAAGAAGACATGGTAAAGCACTGGATGTCATCCAAGGCAACCATATATTTCACAAGACCAAAGAAATAATGCATAGAAATGTTACAAGCCAAGGAGTCGTCCTTCTAGTATAAAAATACACACGGCCAAAGTTATATGTGCAGGGGATGGGCTGGGGAGGTTAAAGGAAGCTGGCATGCTCTGCCTCACAGCTGTGCTACTCATGGCCAGCAAGGAGGGTGTCAGCGAAGGTCACTGCCAGACTGGGCACCTTTCCAGGCAGCACAAATTAGTGCACTGGAGGCACCACCAGATTCCAAGCCACCATGCCATAAACAGACACTAAGCCAAGCAGTGAGAATGCTTTAATCACTTCACCAATAATTGGGTAGAACCAAATTTATGGTCTGAATTTCAAGACAATGAAGCAGGTGGCAATAAGTGTATTTTTTTTTCAGTTCTCTGCTATAAGCTATTTTCATTTTGCTTTATTCAAAATATTTGCACTTCCAATTTTAGAGTCCTGCTTCATTCCCATTCGATTAACTACACTGAGATATTCATATTGTCTTGACTGTTTTCATAATGCTCATTTTATTAAAGATCTACAAGAAAATGTCCTGTATTTAAAGTCTCCTCCCTAGAGTCTTCTTAAGTATGAGATCAGCCAAAGGGCCTCATCCTGAGAATTGAAAGTGAGTTTCCAGACATCACCCTCCTGATTCTGCCCATCCTGAAGATGCAACGGAGCGAGCATCTGGGTGCTTGAGATATCTTGACACTGCTCAGATAAACTACTTTTTGTGTTCAAGGGAAGCCCATGCTTCCTTAGAAAGACCAGCTCTATCGTTGGCACTTTGTCCTTCTCTGGAACAATGACACATCTGAACTCACTTAGAGGTTGGCATCTGATCACATCAAATCGCCCATGTGGAGGAAGTGTGTTCAGAGAGTCAGTGTGGGGGTAAAACACGCGGTCCTCCCTCAAGAGTGCCATGTGCGTGTTCAGAAGGATGAATGATAGGCAGGGGGTACAACTGGCTTCATTCTCCAATCTGACTGTGGTATAGAGCAGTAACTGAACTTCAGCCAGAGAAGGAACGCTGGCCTCCATATTTCCATGAAGAAAGTAAACCATATCAACCAAGGTATTCTGGAAATTGGAAGACAACTGAACTCCATTTGCCAATGCTAGAGCAGGGATTTCTGCTTTCAAATCAAGAGAGAGCTGAACCAGATCCTGCTGGAGCAAAGGGTGACTTCTGGGGGCAGCATCTTCAGACCCAGGCATCAACACACCCAAGAGGTCCTGACAGAGTTGTTGAGAGAGGCTCTTGTTGTAAGTAAGCACAGTTAGCAAGAGGTCCTGTGTGGAGCCCAGGAATCGAATGCTTTGCCCACCAAAGCCAACCTGAATCTCCTGCAGTGCAGAGAGAGGAAGAACATGAAAGATGCTCATGGAATCTGGGCAATTATCTAACAGGACCAGAGCATACAGAGTTGAGGGCAGCAGGAGCAAGCACGCAGCTTGGGGCTCAGGTTGGGTGCAGTTAGCAACAGCAAGCCAGTAAATGCCTTTGACAGCCTTTACTCTGCCCAAAAGCTCTGGCAGAGAACAAGTCATGTGCTCAAGGAGGTCTGTGAGAGGGTACTCTTGAAGCTTCCGCATTTGCTGTGGGAATGATACAAGGGTCTGCTTAAATGCAGTGATCTTCCCGGAATCTTCATAATCAAGACAGAAAACTGAGTTTGGCCAGGAATTTGGTGAGCCTGTAGATGAGAAGGTTAAGTCCGTGGAAGGTGCTGTCCTCTTGGCTGACCTTGGGCTCCCCTCATCTTCACTGTTAGGGCTGCCAATCTGAGTTTCAGGAAGAGGAGGAGGATCTGACAGCATCATGAGTGACCTCACAGGCAGCTGTAGGGGTAAGCGCTCCAACAGTGGCAGGCCTCTGATGAAAGATGTCACTTGGGAGGCCAGTCCACCTGAGTCACACATACTCCCTACATGCTTGGCTTGGCTCATTACTTTTGTCCCAGCATGTATCAGGTGACCACTGGTGTCTTTATACAGGTCTGAGAGCTTGTGGTAAAAATATCCCAGTCCTTTCTTTGCTTCTGTCCTGATATTGACTAGCGGAGCTAGAAAGTGAGTGTTTTCAGCATCGAACTCTTTCTCATTTTGCTGCTCACCACACAATGTGGAGGCTGATGCGCTCTGAGGAGAGCTGCCAGTGGGATGCTCCTTTTGAGAAATGCTTTCAGAGAGAACAAAGCACTGCACCCTGCTTTGCACCGTTTGCTGGCTCCCTCTGTCTATTGGTGCTAGCTGGGACATGTGTTGCAGCAGCGTCCAGCTGGACCTGATTCCCCAGCTTTGTTTCTCTTCATGAGTCATCAGCCCACTGCCATTTTCTGATCCACTCTGGGAATTCTGTGCATCCCTAGTGGTGATCCCATTAAGGAAAGTGATTTCAGGCAGATGAACACATTTTGGCTCAAGGTGGTCAGAGCTTCCAAGGTAACAAAGTTTATCACTAGTGTTCTTTAGTACCTCAGGCCCTGGGGACAGAACCATTCTCTCTTGGGAGGCCATGAAGAGAGCTGTGGGACGTGAGGTGCTCTGGGACGTAGGATGGCTCCAGCGGCTGCTCAGATCCACCTGAATCTCTTCTTCTCTAAGGACGCTGGAAGAGTCAGTATCATCTTTGGGCAGAAGTGGGATAACACACCGTGCAGACCATGGCTGTTTTTTCTGTTTAGGATGTCAAAAGAGGTTGAAATGGGGTTTGACTCTGGGATTCTTTTGCACATTGTGAGTCTCGCATCCATTGGTTTCATTGGAGTGCATTAATTGAGAGGTGAGCTAGAAAGCCTAAGTCATTTGTGCTGATTGATAGATGATTTAAGAATAGATGATTGATTCATATATAGAACATCAATTTCCATCTTACACAGTCTAACAGATTGGCAGGCATTTTGATAGAAACACACTGGTTAGGATTTTCCACAGTATCCATTTCTTGGTCTGTGATTGCATTTTCTCCGAGGTACATCCCCAGACTTCTGATTCATTGTTTAAAAGGTCACAGTTAGCTGTCTGACCATATTGCAAACATGCCCATCTCTTTTTTTGGTTCATTTCATGTAAGTCTTTAATCATCTTCTCCCTAATTAGACGACCATTGCTGATACCTATAAACCTTCACTAAGGAAGACTTGCTGCATGTCTATTATTTGTCGGGTGCCATGGAAACAAAGAAATAAAAGGCAGCTTCTTGTTCTCCCATAGGTACCCACTAGAAAGATGTCCAAAGAAGACTAATGTCATTACTGGATGACTAGCAGGGAGAATGGGTGTGGTCCCAGTGAGTCAAGAAACTATGAACGCACACCCTTTTCCTCTCTGTTCAGTAACGGACAGTAGATATGGTGAGCAGATTTCTATCACCTAGCAATAAAAAACAAACAAACAAACAAACAAACAAAAAAACAGTACTTGGGCTAGCTGAAAATGGCATTCTCCTTGGTGGCAGAAAACAGAAGTGAATTCTTACCAATTGTATGTTCTAATAGCATCTGTCCACCAGAGAGACAAGACAATTGATCAAAGGTTTCCTTTGTACCACTGCCAATTATATATCTACAAAATGAACAGGTTTAAAAAAAACACAGAATCTTTTAGTTTCATTTCCACCGCCCCCTTATATCTGATCTTGATTATATAATTCTGCCTTTTAAATGCAGACCAAGAGAAAGGATACTGTTGCTAATGAGAAACCGGGCACAGATACAGGGCATTCAAATAAAGCCAAAGAATTTTCAGGCCTGCAGGATTCCCTTTAATTTTATGTTTTTATAATAGTTTGCCTTTTCTATTAGCCATTAATCTCACTGGAACTTCAAAATTCTAATTATGCAACTAAACATTAAGAAAATTTAATCACACAAGCATGCCATAATTTAAACAACCCTATCAATCTGAAAAATCACTACCTACCTCATATTTTAGCTTACGTTGAGTGGCGCCATTGTGAAGGTCCTCATTACTCTGAAAAGAAGAGAAAAGCCTTCTGTATTAAATTATAGCATGCTCATAAAGGGGAGAAAAAACTGATTCCATTACAAGTATTTATGAGAACAAAATTCTAAAGAAACATATCTGCCATTCAAAAATGACAACCATTCTTCAGGATTTACATTCACAAAGTAAACAAGTCTCTTATTAATTAAATTTATTTGCAGGACAGAGAATTAAACCACTAACTTTTAATGTTAAGTTTAAAAAGCAAACTTACAATCAAGATCTCCTTAGCGGGCAAGTTATAAAGTTTAGTACAAAAAAAATCAACAAAACTACACATACAGGTCCTATATGACTGAGGTATACTGCTTCTGAGACTATAGCCAAAGTACTCAGTCTTCATGGGTCAGAGAACCCACATGGCTATGTTTATGCAGCACTATTTATAAAAGGCAAGTTGGGAAACCAGAGAGGTGCCCATCAATGTGTGAATGGGTAGAGAAAATGTGAAATGCGATATGTGTGTGTTTGTGTGTATATACACAGAAGTTTTGTAAAGGCGTTTCATTTGGCCATGAAGAAGAGCAAAACTGTGTCAGTTACAAAGAAATGGATGTAATGGATCATCACATTTATACAAAACAATCCAGATTTACAAAAGAGATATCAAGACTTTTTCTCAAATGAGCAATTAAAAAAAAAAAAAACAAAAACGAAGACTAAGCCCTATCAGGACATGAAAACATAAGAAATACAAAATTAAGGATGTGGATGGAAATCAAGGGTAAGGGGATGAAAGAGGATGATGCTGTAATGTATAAAATTATCTTGTATGTATGGAAAAAGTATCATAAAAAATGATTACTTTTTAAAATTTATATATGCTAATACAAAAGACATGAACTGTCATTTGATAAAAAAAACTTACAAAAGTATACATTTCAAGAAGAAAAGTATATGTCTACTTGGAATAATTTACAAAGTAATTATGTATTATAGAAATTGGTTTTATTTGGGGAGAAAATAGAAAATGTTACATGTAGAAATCAAAGCAAATAAAAAATGTTAAGAACCTTAACATGTGTATTTAATGAATGTTTCCTCAGAATTATAAAACTATAAAATAAGCTACTCTTCAATTAATTTTATCTGAAAACTGTTCAGCGCCATTCAATTGATATTTTGTGCTCTTTCTGGAACATTCCACGCCTGAATGTTCATTAAGCAGCAGTAATGACCATACAACCTGGCTCCGTTAGCTCACCTTCATCACATCAGCAGGTACATGGCTGGCATCACCAATCGCCCTGTGTAAATCATGAAGGCGTCTTTGGACTTCTTCCTCTATGTATGCACTGATCCTGAAAACCATGGAAATATGACAGTTTTGAATATATCTAACTGGTACACACAGTCACTATGTATGCTTTCAAGATGCCCCATATACTAGGGGTCAATTCATTCCTAAGGCCATGTATGTGCATATATGATGGAACAAGAGATCACATGTTAAGTCAAACAGACTAGACTCTGAAAGAGAGGTATCAGGTCTTTTATCTAATGTGTGCTATTTGGAAAAACTGAAAACAAAAAGCAAAGCCCTATTAGGACTTGAAAATCCTGATATTTGCTTTATTTATTAAATATAAATGAAAATTTTGGATTCCAAACCATTTTCTTTTTTCTAAGAAGTGTGGTACTATGCATTCACTCTCTGGGTTTTCCCCAAGTGAGGACAGGATTGCATAAATAAGTAAGAGAAAATTGAAAGTGAATGGAGAGTAGGCTGTTCCACTGAAACCCTCCATGGAGCACATTCAGGGTAAAGGCAAATCACAGCCACGGAATCAGAGGCTCTGTGTTCCTAGATCCCACTGTAAGACAGACCATAGGGTCTCCTCTTTTGGAACAGGAAGACATTAATGAGAGTTATTTCTTAAGCACAAGGCCATTTATGATGATTACTAAAAATTGAAAAGAGGTGGAAGAATACTCTAAGGATATTGACTGTTCATCTAGAACAGTGTCTTGCACTCTCCTGGCCTATCTTGTAATTCCAACTAGGTTATATACATGTGGCCATTGAGACCACATCTGAAAGTTATGCAATGTGGATTGCTTGGCAAGGGGCCACAAGAGAAAGGAAGTCAGAAACTATTGACTTATAAAACAACTGTCAACGAATATCTGGTGTCTCATAGAAAGTATCTGAATCTGTATAAAATTTCCACGTCAGCTTTGACCATCAAAGTGGTGTTCAGTGCAGTCGCTGATCAGCCAAATTTAGTCCAGTAGAAGAAACAGAGTCAAGAGGAATAATAGGATACAGAGATCTGATATGGAAAGTGGGAAAACAGGCAAAGTGGAGGGAGGTATCAGAAGAAGGAGGTAGGTAGGTAAAATAACAACAAGGATGTCCAAAAAAAGGCCAGCATAATCATACTATTAACTATTTACCCCAAACAAACATGTAATAATTTAACTCTCTGTGTGTATATATATATAGTTAATAATATAAAATCAATATATATTATAATATATAGTTAATATATAACATGTACTTAATATAAAATTTTAATAAACTCTTCTCATCTTGGCTAGTAGAGCTCTTGCCAAGAGCAAAGACCACCTAACAAAAACACCAATACCAAACATGCAAGTTCTTGTCTGAGTTATTAGTCAGGGATGTCTAAGAGACTCCCAAAACATATAGCCAACTGCTGTTGTACTTGGTTGCCCCCTAGAGATAGAAGGTAAGTCCCTATTGCTGAAGACCCTATGTACTTCTGAAACAGATCCCAGAGACCCTGAGCTGGAACTGTCCTGAACTGAATGCTCCCTCCTGTAAACTAGCTTTCATGGCATTAGAAGGTGCCACATAAAGTTCCAAAGGAAGGAGGCAAGCAATATACTCAGCTAGATACCTATGAAGCACCATGATCATGCAGCATTGTAATGTAACCCTAAGGGTATAGTAGTGGCACACATACCTTGGAGGAAACTAATAGCTCTATAACTAGACTTAAGACTCATTCAAGAAAAACAAAATCATGCCTGGTACTGGAAACCTAGCTAATAACCTAGTGCTAGTGAAATCATGATTATTGTAGGAAAATCTACAACCACTAATTTACTAAACTATCATAATCCCTAATTACATTCTAAATATTTGTCATTATACCCATATGTAAGTGTAATCTTTATCTCATCAAGGAAACTTCTCTTTGCAACAGATATAGACTGCTATAAAAAATATAACCAATCAAAATTCAGAGTTATAGGCCTTGCCCTGTAGTCAGATTGATAACTATCTTAAAAGTAACCACAGAACCTTCATCCAGTGACTGAAGGAAGCAGAGGCAGAGAGCCATAGAGTTTCCAAAGTCCAGTCAAAGAGTGGGAGGAGTGAGAATATGAGCAAAGAGGTCAAGACTATGATGGAGACCACTTACCTGAGCTAGTGGGAGCTCACCAACTCTGGCCAGACAGGGAAGGAACCAGCATACAACCAAACTAGGCCCTTGGAATGTGAGTGACAGTTGTATGGCTGGGGCAGACTATGGGGACACTGGCAGTGGGAGCAGGATTTATCCCTACTGTTTGTACTGGCTTTTGGAACCTATTCTCTTTGGACAGATACCTTGCTCAGCCTAGATATAGTAGGGAAGACCTCGGTCCTTCCTCAAAGCAATGTGCCTTACGCTCTCTGAGGAATGGATGGGGTGTGGGGTAGGTGTGGGGAGTAGAGGGAATGGGAGGAGGGGAGGGAGTGGGAACTGAAATTGGTATGTAAAATGCAAAAGTAAAAAATGAAATTCATTCCCAATAGATACATCTACAAAACACTACTGCAGCTAAGGCTCAGCGAACATTTTGGAAGAGGTGGACACAAAAGCTGTAATAGCCAGAGGATCAGGGAGTTTGGTGTGAGATTGTGTCTCCTGGTAACATGAGAACACACATAAAATCTCACCAACATGACTGCCCAAACATGAGCTGAGCAAGGATGACACCAACTGACATGCCAAAGTGGATGGGGAAAAGTCCATGAGGCTTCAACCCTACACCAAGAACTATAGGCAACTGAGAAAAGCTGGAAGATGGACAGAGAGTTTCCCCAGCAAGCAGCATACCAATTTGCTGTTCAGTGCCAAATGGTTAGCCCAAAAAGCATATATACAAGTAACATTATAAAGACCAAACAGGTTACATTTAGGAACATGTATGTATATGCATTTATGCATACAATAACAATTAGTGAAAAGGAGGCTATGAATTTGAAGGAGAACAGAGAGTTATATATGGGAGGGCTTGGAGGGAGGAAGTTAAGAGAGATATATTGTAATTACAATATAAATTACAGTAGCTCAGACTGTCCAAAGCAATCATCACTTAACTATAGGATAGAATCCTCCAGTTCCACAGATGTTTCCTTCCGTTCCCCCTTTCCATTCATTCATTCACGTGTGTATGTGTATGAGCATCTATACATGTGTGAGCAGATGCACATGTGGTAGAGGACAGAGGAAAACCTTGGTTGTTGTTATTTCTCAGGTGTCGTTCATTCTTTGTCTTTGAGAAAGGATCATTTACTGTACTGGAACTTCACAAGCAGGGATCCACTTGGGTCTGTCTCATTGGGTGTTGGGATTACAAATGTTTCAATACATCTGGCTTTCTGTTTGTTTTTATTTTTAACATGGGTCCTAGGATCTTCGATCTGCAGCCTATAAGGCAATCATTTTACCAACTAAGTATTTGTAAATATTTTCAAAATCCTACCAGTGATTTGTACTGCTGACCAACAGAGAAATGCTTTTCTAAAATGCTGGGTAGATATATTAATATTTCAATAGAGTAGCCCAAATAAAAGGCAATATGTACTTTTCAGTGTTGAAACTAAAATCATATATAATTGGCCATGAGCCAAGGTCATTTACAGATGACCTCCCTCACCTTATGGCCATTTTTAAACTGGTCCCATGTAAAACACAGACCTATACTAAGAGGCTCATACCATTCTGTACACATTTTGATAACCACTGAGCTCCTAAATCTAGACTGCAAGGATGCCCAGTTAGATAGTTCCCCCATGGAAAAATTCAATTAATCCTCTGACCTGGTTCTCCCAACCTGGCCTCTGCATCATTTTGTTCTGGATGAGTTGGTTTCTTTGCACCTTCTAATTCTACCATCTCACATAAACTGTTTGAAGCATGATGTTTTGGATTTGGCTGACTGGTTCTTAGGTCCCTGATTCTCTTCACACTATCACTCACCCAGTCACAGGCCAGGCAGCAGCTGACAAAGACAGAGGACATCTCAAGCACAGTACTGCTAACTACTATTGCGTCTGATAAATCCCTCCATAAGTAAACTAGACAATATAGATACAGTAAGTCATTACATGGAAACACAGAAAAGCATGGCACCAGCTGAATGTTGAGTACCTGGCGTCCATCAGTGGAGCCAGATGAGAGTTTTCAGCACTGGGTGGCAAGCCGGAAAGAGCAGCTTTCCCCTCTGAGGTCCCATGATGAGGTCTTTGAACACCATCTATCTCACAGATCTTCTGTTTCAGCTGGTGGATTTCATGTTCTAACCTAAAAGATACGAACCACAGAACTCCATTAATTAATAGTATTACACGAATACATTCTCTGTAGGGAGCTATTCTAAAAACCTTAGGGGAGCCAGAAAAATTCTAGTGCAAGGAGTTTTCCCTTCTAGTAGAAAAGGTTTCACCTACAGGAAAAGGAACAAGGTGAAAATGAGCCATGAGAAGGGTACAGGACAAGAGTTGCAAGCATCCAAGGCTTAGACTTCCTGGTCACCAAGGACAAAGGCACTTCTGCTGTGTCGTAAGCAAGTCCTTAAAGGTGCTGCCCAGGATTCTGAACCCCTTAAACCTTGAGTCAACAGAGTTGGTTGTGGACTATATATCCAAATTCTGTTAAATACTTCTGTTTGACATGTAGTTCTGGGCTGAGTCTTCAAAGGTCACTGGAATTATGGGCATTTAGAGATGACAACAGAAGATGCACCAAGGACAGAAACCTATCAGGGCAAAGAGACTGTGCCACAAGACCCAGGAAGGCACTTTGGCCATGACAGAGGGGATGAGAAAGGGAACCAAGGAAGACAGATCTTGGAAAGAGTTACATGAGAAATTAAAATGAGCCAAAAATTGTGAAACCAGAAAGCATTATTGCAGATGACAGCTGGTATATTTTTCAAGCTCTGCATTATATGAAAATTCAGGTGGCCCTGACTCCTTAACAATCAGGCTAAAGGGCCCAGCTCACCGGCAGATTTAGTCCAAGGAACAGAAGACTCAGCAGCTGATAAGCAGAGCCCACTCGGCATGGCATGTGAATACAGACAGGCACTGGACCTGGATTTCTACTGCAGGGATCACATGTGCTCAACTAATCTCTCTTTGTTAATCCCTCCAAATCAGAGATGTTAGTATCAAAAGCTGACACTTCTTGATGCCGCCAAGCCTCTGGTGCCACCATCAGTAACTTGACTGTTTCATCCTCTGCTAGATAGCAAATCTAAGGCCAGTAAAGGTTACGTGAGACCATACCACAAAAACACCACCACCATCAACAAATAAGAATGGTGAAAGGGATCACATGGATGGCAAAGGATCAGGATTGCTTTAGACAGGGTCTCAACAATGGCAGGCAGGATGCAAGCAGAAGATGGCAACATTCATGCTCTTCTGATGCCTGCTGGGTCTTCTCATGGCATTCTCCCAGGCTAAACCATTAGAAAATCTGTGCTGAGGTTACTTAGCATGGACGTTTGATTGGGACCCTAAATACGCAGTGAGATTTATATATATAGTGGGGCTCAGACAGTACCTATGTGAAGTACTGTCCTATCTATATTTAAGCCACACTACCAGTCCACTAACAGCTGGGAGAGAAACAAACCTAGACCAAGCCCCTAATATGCCATTTCCTGTATGCCACTGGTGTCCATAGAAACATAACCTTTATAGGTTCAAGACTCCTACTTTCTGCCTGGGGGTGATGTCTCTTCTTCATGGGAAAACACACATTTTGAGTTACATGGGATTATTCCTCACGGGGGGCATCATGACTACGATCATCATCATCACTGTTGAGGACTCTAATAACAGAGTTGACTAAACTCTGAGTATTAGCGGTTTTCATCGTATCTTTTCTATGGTGACAAGAGGGCTTCTTAGTGGAGTTGCCTGATGCATGCAACTGGGGCAGCTGGAATGAGCAATGGAAAGGAAGGGTGTGGCCTAGCGTAAGCAGTTCATATGGCATCACGGAACTATTGGGCAAACACGTCCAGTGCAGTGCTGTCCCATCTGCTGCCATGTGCTTCCAATGTCTCAGTTCAGCAGTTTCACAAGGGGCCAAGCCAGGCTGCACAGCCAGTCCTGGCTTACCTGTGAGAAGGCAGAAAGAAAATAACACGCAGCAAAAATATCCTTAGAAAGCTGCTGAACCCTTGAAGGCAAAGCAAAGTACCCAGAATTCATCAGCCTGAATTAGATGTTGGTAAAGTCTATGTCCCCAGAACTCATGAAGCTAAGTGCCTCCTCGCGAGGTTTTCGAACTGCTGACACCAAGGAATCACTTCCATGGAAATTTCAAGACCATGTCTGTTACTGCAGAGTATTAATACTGAATGGCTAGTTGGTAAAAGTCAGGGACATCAAGCTAAAAGCTCGGGCTGCCTCTTACTGCACACTGCAGGATACAAATTGAGAGCATGCCCTCCACCTCTTTAAATTTCCTGGGGCTAGAGCTTTGTCCAGCAATTTCATTTACATAACATACCTGCAATCATTTTCTTAAACCTCCGACCTACTTCTCTGAAATAATAACATTATGGTTTTGATTGTTATTTTGTTTCTGTTTTGCCTGAAGGAATTACCAGAGAGTGACTGTAAATGGAGTCCATAGGATAAGCAGATCACTTAAAAGGAAGCAGTCTTGACCTTCTCAGGAAAATGATGGGTATACAGTTAACATTCTGAGAAGGTCTTGCCTTGTCTCGAAACTATACTGATGTCTCTGCCAAATACTAAGTTTGGGTCTTACAGCTAATAGAAAGAGCACTGCTGATTATGGGTGGGATAAGACAGAGCTCCATGTCCTCCCACTTGGGCTTCAGTTAGGAACTATGAACAGAGGCAACACTCCAGAATCAGAGTCAGGCAGATCTTCATGAGTTGGAAGGCATGAGTATCAAGTTCAGCCAGACATACACAGTGAGAGACAGTCTTAAAAAACAAACAAACACCAACCTACAGACAGGAATTTGCTGAAAAAGCCATATCTATGTTGAAGATTCTGCAGACTGATTGACTAAGTAGACTAATTAGCAATTATGAACAACTGGAATTTTACAGATGGAGAGCTAAACTAATTTTGGGCAGTCTTTATTTCTGTTAATAGTCACTCATCAGTTATATGTATCATATCTAACCCAATGGCTTTTTAATCCTTGGAATGTTTTCCTAAACTTGACATGCCTAGCCTCCACCAATCCAATGGCTAACTATGTTTCAGATAACAGCTAAAACCTACTGTTGAGATTTTCTTCTCAGTCTATGGAATCCACTGATATCTTCATCAGTGCATTTGGTAAATGCATGATTTATGACTTTGATTTGTTTGAGAGAAGTTCATATGACCACTTCAGAGTGGATCATATCACTCAGGACAAGTAAAATCTCTGTTCCCTGGCTGTAGTCACTCTGAATTGGCTCAGTGTAAATGATCTCTTAATCCCTCTAGAGCAAGAGCTTTGCTTTGTGTTGGTAACTCAACTGACCACAGTATGGAGGTGAGAGAAAAGAGCCCTAAGGACATCAAGGCAGTAAGAGACAAGTCAACCAGGGCATGTCTCCACTTTGTAAACTGGTTATGTTCACACACAGGTGGCCTTTAACCTCTCTGAGAATCTTAGCATCACTGCAGGGTACCAGAAAAGATGCTCCTAGATTTCTCTATTTACTTATTTCAGAGTCCACCCCGGTAATAATGGCAACAGAATAGAAAGATAACTATTCTTTCTTTACCCTATCAAGAGAGATTGTTTCCCAGTTTTCTTTCTAAAATGCTGACTCTAAGGGTGGGACATCTACCCGATTTTAGTAGGAACCAGTTAGGGGATTCACAGTGCATGAACTCTGGGGACAGGACTTCAGTGAGGCCAGTGCTGCTCACAGAGAAGATGTGAAATCCTGGTGAAGGAGGACAGGTGCGGGAGAGAGAAAGACATGGGGTGGTGAGGAGGCAAGGACAGGGATGAGAAGGGAACATGGAGGGGGCAAGGTGGGCGAGGCAGGGATAAAAGAGAGATAAAGGGTGGGAACCTAGGTTGAAGCTCACCCAGTTCCTGCCCTTGTCAAACTACTAGAACACACACATTCCACAGGTCAGTATAGTGAAGGATGAGGGCTTTTCTTTTGCCTATGTGCTTTTCTCAATTTTAAGTCAATGATTCTAAAACAAGGATCTTATGTTCAAATATATAAAAATTCTTAGGGGTCCTTTTATTAGGTTGAGTTTTGTTTTGGTTTTTGTTCATTTGTTTTGGTTCTGAAATCTTTTCGCCTATTTATTAGAGTTCATAAAGCCTACAGTGAGAAGCGACAAGAGGCAGAAAATGAGCAATCACGTAGGCCTGTCCTATGCTTCACTCCCTCTGCCTTAGCCTTACCTTGCAGGGCCCTTCTCAAGGTCCTCTTGTTTGACCTGCAGACTGGCATGCAGCCCTGAGTGCTCGGGGCTGTGGAGAGAGTTAAGTTTCTGCCTCTGCTCCTGCACCTCCAGATCCAGGGTGGAGCACCTCTGTAGGGCAGAGCGCCTCTGCTCTAGTTTGGCCACAGCCTGTTCCAATGCTTCTCTCTGCTGATTCTCCCGGGACTCCAAAATCTCCTTTTCCTTTTCTCTCAAGTTCGCTTCCGGTCTGGTGACATTAGCTGTGAACTGGAAGGTGGCCGAGAGCTGCTGCAGCTGGCTAGCCTTAGCCTGGTACTCTGTGACTAGCTCTTCTTTTTTTTCCAGTTCTCTCTCTACTTGGTAGAGAGTGTTGTCTAGGCCCAGGGCACCCCTGTCAAGGATGTCAAGAGCACTCTGCTTTTCTTCCAGCAGAGCTGGCAAATGATTTTGCAGAAGATCACGTAGCTGGTGCTCTTTGCTTTGTAGCCTGGACTGTGCAGTCTTTATTTTCTCTAGATCTTCAGGCTGGTAAGGGATGCTACTGTTATCTGTTGCCAACGAGCTAGCTTCCTCATGGGTTTTCCATCTTACACGCTCCAGGGCTTCCTGTTCTTCTTGGACTTCTTTGCTTAGAAGGTCTTTCTGTTGGACTAGGTCCTTCTCCAGGTTTGCTAGCCTGATAAGTTGCCTTCTCTTGAACTCTAAGAAGTACAGCTGAGCCCTTTCCAGTTCATCCTCGCATGTGTGATTCCCTCGTGCTCCAGCCTCTTTGGCCTGCAAGAGGGCTTCCTGGATGACTTCTAGTTCCCTCTTTTCCTCCAGGGACCGCTGGACCCCTCCAGGACACAGCAGTGGAATAGTCTCCTGCTGCTCCCGCAGCTGCTCCTCCAAGTGTGCCACCAGCAGCACTTGTTCCTTCTCTTGCTCCTCCAGCCTCCTTTTCTCCAGCTGCAGCTTGGAACTCTGGGCATCTTGTTCTCTGTGCAGCTGGTCCAGCCCCTGGAATACCTGGACCTTCTCCGCCTGCTCATGGCTGTTGAGCTCTTGGAGCCTGCGAAGCTCCTCTCTGATGCGGGATAAGCTCCCTTCTTCTTGCCTCCTCTGATGCTCAAGTCCCTGCTGCTCCCTGAGCCTTTCTTCCTCAAACCTTTCCTTCTCGGCCAGCAGGTCCTTGAGTTTGTTTTCAATGTGGAAGCTGCGGCGTTTGAGGCTTTCTTCCTGTTTGCGGATCTGCCGCTGAACAAGCTCTGTTTCCTTGCGCCTGGTTTCCACCTCCTGCTGCATTCGCTCTAACTCTGCCTTGTCCGATTTCTGCTTTTCCTCCATCTCTTCGATGAGTTTTCTGCAATGTAAATGCTGATTCGTCATTATTTGATCACTACATTCAGCTTAGTCCAACTTCCCCCTAAGTGGACTGGTTTTGAAAACACACAGGCAACATAAAACCAAACCTTTCATTAGAACAAATGAAGAGGAAGTGCTTCTCATTCATGTTTTTAGAAACATGCTATTTCATTTATTTGATTTTATTTACTGTCCAGTATATCGTCTGCCTAGTCTCCTGAAGTAGCTTCTGGTATCATCTCTTTGTGAAGTCTAGAATCATGTGTTATGCAGGCCATAATTAAAAAATCCCACCAAGTTCAAAGAGAAAAACACCCATTTTAAATTTAAATGTGGCTCATTTTATTCATCCCAATGACTAAACTACAAAAAACATTCAGTTACAAGGTGACATTAAGTAAATATTTTTTTCTCTCTCTTCAAGTCACTATGAATAACAAAGTCAAAATAATGGGCAGTAGGCTGTTTCAGTTCAAAAGAGAATCCTATATGGTCTTTAGCATTTAATCACTGGTTCTGAGCAAATTATATTCATCAAAATGGCCTCCAACATTGCAAACAACTGGAGTCTGTTAGGATGCTTGGACACACAGTGTCACATGCTGTGTTTTCTATAGGTGCAACCGATGCTTACCTGGTACAAGAATAGCCTGGGGAGTTGGAGTGGTCTCCAGAGCCAGAGCATGCAACGACAGTGCTCGAAGTTGGCCTCCATCCCCTGACACCCAACCTCCTGCTTAAACTCATTCCCATGAGCAGTTTAACCCCAAATTCTAGAAATATGTAATTATGTTTTAGATCATCTCTAGCTTTAGCTTCTTCTTCAGTGCCTACCCACCCTTGATCTACTTCGTGACTTGTTAAATAGAACAAGGGAAAAGAGAAACTATGATTGGATTAAACATGTCTCAGTTACGCAGCTATACACACACACACCACACACATACACACACACAAATGAAAGCAAGCAAAGAAGAAAAAAATGAATTACAGGTAGAAAAACACCAATAGCTGTACAGAAAGTAAAGATGTTGGGCTGGAGAGATGGCTCAGTGGTTAAGAGCATTGCGTGCTCTTCCAAAGGACCCGAGTTCGATTCCCAGGAACCACATGGTGGCTCACAACCATCTGTAATGAGGTCTGGTGCCCTCTTCTGGCCTACAGGCATATTTGCAAACAGAATAGTGTGTCCATAATAAATAAATAAATATTAAAAAAAAAAACAGGCCAAGCGCTTGGAAAAAAAAAAAAAAAAAGAAAGAAAGAAAGTAAAGATGTTTAAAAGGACAGTGGTGCTGGTTGTGGTGGTGTATGCCTGCTTTCCGGCATACAGATGCAGCAGGCCAGCCTAGGTCACATAAAAAAACCAAAACTAAAAGCAAGCAAAAAAGAAAAAAAAAAAAAAAAAAAAAAAAAAAAAAAAAAAAAAAACAAATGTTGGGGATAGAGCTCAGTGGAAAAGCATTGGTCTAAGACAGTGCTTCTCAACCTCCCTCATGCTGCGACCCACATGTTGTGGTGACCCCACCATAAAATTATCTTTGCTACTTCATAACTGTAATTTTGTTACTGTTATGAATTGTAATGTTAATATCCATGTTTCCTGATTGACCTAAGCAACCGTTGTGAGAGTGTCAATGGACCCCCAAAGTGGTTGTGACCCATTGTACTTACATGTAGGCAAAACATGAGTAAACTTAAAATAAAATAAATAAATCTTATTTTTCAAATTAAGTTGAAGATGGGACCGTTACAAAGGAAAATGCTTTTTATCTTTCATCTTTATAAACTCATGACTTTTTAAAACCCCAAGAATACTAAGAAGATTTGGCGTTAATTTCAACAGAGCTCAGATATTTAATTTACTGACTATTCCCCTCCACTCACAAGTATTTAAAGATGAACTGCTGTGAAAATTTAAAGATAACGTAAAGTCAATCCCTAGGGGAAAAAAAAAAAACTACCTACAGGCATGAGACATGGAAATAGCAGACTCAGAGCGAGAGGGAACGGTGGAAACAGAAGAGGTGAACTCAAGGGAGGACACTAACAGAGCAGTCAGACACAGCTTGACATGCAGGCCTCACAGCTTACCTTTTACTTTCAAGTTTTTCAAGTTCTTCACGCTGTTGTCTCTCAAATTCAAGTCTGATGAAATCAAATGAAAAAAGTCACTTCTATGAAGGAGCTTTTCTCTCTTCACACAGAATCACACACTGGAGCACAGATTTGTCTATTACTTTAATTACTATGGATTAGCAAGTTTAAAATGCATTCTTTGCTCTATCACTATGATTAGAAATTAGATATAATTTAGATGTTTGAACTTAGACTGAAGAGAACAGATTTGATTTGAAAGAAAATAAAATATCACTGTAGTTTAAAAAAACAGAATTAAACACAACTTCTAAATGCTAAGCATGTCTATTCCATGCAGCTTAGTCACTGGTGAGTAAGTAAGAAGGAGAATCTACCTTAGACAGATGGGTCCTTTTATAGGGAAAAGACTGCCAGGGAGGTGAAGGGAGAGAGCACAGACATCCATTAGGAAGACAATTCAAAAGGAGAAAACACCAGGAGAAAAGCAGTAAGGTACTTTAGAGACAACGGTCATGCATTGATCAAAAGGTATTTTTGCAAATATCACATTTCCCAGGAAGTACATGAAACAAACACTGCAACCAGTTAGCCTGCTGTTTCTCACACATCTCTGACAGTCGTAGGACCTTTGACTACTGAGCACAAACAGTTACTGTGCTTTATCCTCTACTCAGAGGCTCAGACATGCCATGAGACTACACAAAATCACACAGCTATAACAAAATAATGGAAAGCAGGTCATGAAAAATTTGCAAATTTTAACATAAGCAATTTACCTAACATTAAGAAATATGTTTCATTTTTTTCAATTTAACACTATGAGTTGTAATCCTTGGACATACACATTTCCCTGTAGTAAATGGCAAGACACCACTGCACTCGGGAACCATACACCATAAACTATTTTCCTTTGATCATGTGCAAATCCAAACTGGCAACACAGATGCTTTTACAGGGATCTAAGATATGTGTCAAAAGGATCTCTTCTCTCTTGGCTAATGTGGAGAGGACAGTGTCTGGTGGCCTTTCTAAGCAGAACTGTTCATGCATGACACAAGAACAGTCATGCCGACCTGCACAGGCTGTCTCCTTTGTTCTCCCAGAATATTAAGGCTGTAAACTATATCTCAAATTATAGACCAGGAACCCAAAGCCTGGATGTCTCCAGAACTTGCTCCAGGTCACAGTGGTCATGTGTGGTGGAGCTGGCATTTGAACCCACAACAATCTGCTTCCAAAATGTGCCATCTGTTGACTCAGTCAGCAAGCTTGTTCAGATTTGTGATATAAAATACAAGAACTTACCTCTTAAGATTTACATTATAAAAAAGAAAAAAACCAATAGACCTAAAATCAAGAAAATGATTCCCATTTATAGAAAAGACTAAAATTTAAAAATCATTAACAACCACAAAACCTCTTTGGTGCTCACTCAAGTAAGGTCATGATTCAGAGAAGAGCATCATGATTCAGGGATCCTGCTTTAAACATGAGGGGACAGGAACTGCTGCCGATAGCATATAACTTCTGTCAAATATTACATATTTACTAATTATACCTTAAAATGTATCCCTTTCCACAATCCATAATTATTTCAGATAGCATACCACAATAGACTGTAAAATATGTGTGAGCCTGTCAGTATCTCTAGACAGTGTACCAAGTATAATTGTATGTAAATGTAGCTACATTTTAAAGCAAGTACAATTCACTCTCTTACATTACTGGGATTATCATGGCCCCAAATGCTAATTTTCCAAAAGTTATAATTAAAAAGAAAATTATAAAAGGATGTAATTTTTGCAGCTGTTTTTAACATTTTAAAATGACATTTGGAGGTACACATTCTGTGGTAGGTCCAACAGAAAAGCACAGCATACCATCTATTTTTATCAGGAATAAACTCTCTTCATTAAAAGACAGCTAGCATTTTTAGGTATAACTGCACATCTTGCAATTTACATTCCTGTTATCATCAGCAATAGAAAATGAGAGGGCTGGAGTTTCTCAGTTCACACCATTACTTTGAAAGTGAGACTGAGATTATTTTTAAAAGAGAGAGAAGAAATGAAAAATTTAAATAGGCAAAACCCATAAATATTTGCATCCTTGTGCTGTTGTAATACTGATTAGTTTATTACCTCTAACGTCAGGTCCAAAGGCAGAAAGAGACAGCTGCCCATGTCCAGCCAGTACTTTAGCTGGCAGCTACAGTGGTACAGGCGAGGGGTGTGAGAGAATGAGCTCCAGACTGCAGCAGATATAGAAGGAGTTCCTGTTTGCAAAGGCTCTTGCCTGGATATCGGACTCTATTGTCTGAACAGGTATATGGTTAAGAATCAGGAAATAAAGAATATTTATCATTGGATAGACTTGGATTTTCTATTAGCAACTTGTAGTTATGTAGGTCTAGTTATGTAGGTTGTAGTTATGCACATTATCAAATTGATGTGCAACTCATACACAGGGCATGCCTGGAATTCTTATTATATTAGAGCCCACATTTTCATTATGTATTGGGTTTGACAAAGTACTGTGTCTCTGCTCACAGATACCTGCTGAACATACCCTGTCCAGTGTCTGGAGGCTTAGTGACATTCTTTAGTAAAAATCCCAGTAAGAAAATCCTAGCACTCAGTAGAGGATGATTGTTCTTTTTCTGGTCCATTATAGGACATTAAAATCTTTCCTCAGGGTAACAGTGCTCATATAAATGTTCACTGGAAAGCTAGGAAAAGGAACTTTATAGAGACGATGGAAACAAATTTCTAACCCCTCCATGTTATACATTGGGTTATCCAACAGTGGCTACTATACAATTGCAATCTAAGGGTGTGAGGCAAGAAGGGTGTAAAGCAGGGGTACAAAGTTTCAGCATACAGTTTAACCTGGAAAGTTACCCTCTAGCTAAGTCAGAGTTTTTTATTTATTTATTTATTTATTTATTTATTTATTTATTTATTTATTTATTTATTAAAGATTTCTGTCTCTTCCCCACCGCCACCTCCCCTTTCCCTCTCCCTCCCCCAATTAAGTCCCCCTCCCTCGTCAGCCCAAAAAGCAATCAGGGTTCACTGCCCTGTGGGAAGTCCAAGGACCACCCACCTCCATCCAGGTCTAGTAAGGTGAGCATCCACGAAACTGCCTAGGCTCCCACGAAACCAATAGGTCCAGTAGAATCAAAAACCCGTTACCATTGTTCTTGAGGTCTCAGTAGTCCTCCTTGTCCGCTATGTTCAGCTAGACCAGTTTTGACCCAGGCTTTTTCAGACCCAGGCCAGCTGGCCTTGGTGAGTTCCCGATAGAACATCCCCATTGTCTCAGTGTGTGGGTGCACCCCTCGCGGTCCTGAGTTCCTTGCTAGTGCTCTCTCTCCTTCTGCTCCTGATTTGGACCTTGAGATTTCAGTCCGGTGCTCCAATGTGGGTCTCTGTCTCTGTCTCCTTTCATCGCCTGATGAAGGTTAATATTCAGGAGGAAGCCTATATGATTTTCTTTGGGTTCTCCTTCTTATTTAGCTTCTCTAAGAACCCGAATTATAGGTTCAATGTCCGTTATTTTTGGTCAGAAACCAAATATGAGTGAGAACATCCCATGTTAGAGGCTGTGAAGAAAGGGGTACACTCATCCATTGCTGGTGGGAATGCAGACTTGTGCAACCACTCTGGAAAGCAGTGTGGAGGTTTCTCAGGAAATTTGGGATCAACCTACCCATGGACCCAGCAATACCACTCTTGGGAATATACCCAAGAAAGGCCTTATCACACAACAAAAGTATATGCTCTACTATGTTTATAGCAGCATTGTTTGTAATAGCCAGAACCTGGAAACAACCTAGATGCCCTTCAATTGAAGAATGGATGAAGAAAGTATGGAATATATACATATTAGAGTACTACTCAGCAGTAAAAAACAAGGACTTCTTGAAGTTTGCAGGCAAATGGATGGAAATAGAAAACACCATCCTGAGTGAGGTAAGCCAGACCCAAAAAAAGTCAGAGTTTTTAATGTGAATATCCAAAGCATCCTGGGGAGGATTTCCTAAATAAACGCTCACACCTTAATCTAGAAAGTATCCATAGACTTCCAGATTTTAAGATATTTCCTGTTGCAAACTGAAGATAGCCAGAAGCAATACTTTTTTTTAAAGCAGTGTAATTTGATGCCATAAGCATTTTATGTAGTTCTTCCCAGGCTACTTCAGTTAACAGTCCTGTAACCCGATTAAGTACAATTCAAACATACCCAAGCCAATCCTGTTTTAGCCCAAGATCAGAGGCTTGTTGAAGTGGGTATAGACACGAGAGGCATTTGCTTCAGCTCGGCACACACCCCTACACCCTAGCCATCCCTGCATTAGAGCCCAGGAGTATTAGAGAAGAGAACACCAGAAGCCCATCCTACAAGGAGCTGGGAGGAGAACTCACCTCGTCTAGCTCTCCACCCATTCTCATATGGACCTTGAAATTCCACTGAACTCTTTAGACAAACCATGGTTGAAGAGGTGAGGGTCCTTAGAAGTTAAAAACGATCTGTTATTTCAAAACCCACTCTTCCTGTTCAACACACTAGAACAGTGTATCACAGGCAATCTTCCTACCACCTGACTAAAGCTGCCAAGTTCTGCTGCTTCATGGGATTGGAACATGGCCCTTTGTTCAATTCCATCCGCATCACCTTTCTGCTTTTGATGGCTTCCTTCACTGCCTAAGTTTGGCTATCCTAGAACTTGCTCTGTGGATCAGACTTGCCTTGAACTCAGAGATCCAGCTGCCTCTGCCCCCTGAGTACTGGGATTAATTATGTAATACGATGTCCAGCTCTAAGCTTTCCATTCTTTCCTTTCATAAGTTGGAAGTTTAGCAAGTGAGTTCTTACCCTGAGGTCACCACTCCCTTTATTCCATTTAACATCAGGTTTTCTGTAAACTTCTTTTAGGTGTTCTTTTTCTCCTCTAACTGCACATCTGGTAATTTTTCCTTGCTCAGCTTGCTCCTTTTACTTATAGAACCACATAAATGTGGCTGCTAATAACCAATGGAACAGTC